AACTTTCTTGATTTTCTATAATCTTCTAAATCTCCTGTCATTCCAGTCAATTTAAATTTCTTAAATTTATGATGCTTTTCTTTAAATACTCTTATTTCTCATACATTTCTCATACTCTTTGTGAGGCAAACCTGGTTTTTACTTGCAGCTACCCTTTTCTTTCTATAATGGTACTTGCATAAACATTGTTTCTCCTAATTTTATCTTGCAAAATTCAGTTTTCTTTCCACAAATGGTGAGTGTCTTAAGTTTCTATTTCTTACATTTGGAACAGTAAATACAAAAATTCACAATTTTTTTTTTATTTCATTATGAGTTGCTTAGATCAAAAACTGTTGCACATTTTTAGCTTATTGGAGAGATATTTAGAAAAAATTTACAAAGTAGAAATATTTAGATTATATTTATTTAATTTTGTGACTCTTAACTTCAAGCTTCTGTGAAAGATAGACTTGACAAACTGACAAGACAAGCAGGAGGACTTCGACACTGGTAAGTTACTTTATAACAACCAGTAATATGCAGAGATGTGAATTAACTGTTTTGTAAAAACTGGTGATATGTAGATTTGTGGGTTGGCATTGAGAAACAAGAAAATAATTGGATTATTATTGAAAAATAGAGTTGTGGGTTAGTAGTGTGAACACAGTGATATGTAGAGAATTAGGTTAACTGTTGTGAAATAACAAGTAATATGAAAAAACATACACCACAAACTACAAAATGGAAGTAATAATGTAGAAGTGGTTATGTAATAACAGTAGAATGGAATGATATAGTGAATAACTGTGTTACAAACTGAAGATTGGAAGCAGTGGTGATGTAATTAGCTATATCGTAAGGGTAGAATGGAATGATGTTGTGAATAGCTATGTTAAAAATTGCAGATTTCACAAATGTCTTAATTCAAAAAATGCTATTTACCTGTATGCACCACTAAGAGGTATTACATCCTGTGCAACTACCTTGGTATTTTCTGTGCATGCAAGCCCATGACATAATCACCATAATGCTGCAGCCCTCCACCAATAGGAAGGTAACACAATATCCATGCACTGTAATTTCCATGAGCACTAGCACATAACTATAGGCTCATTCTATTCTCAGTACTGTCTGTGTTCAGATGTGTTTTTCTTGTGCTTTTTGAGTTTCTAATCGCTTTGATAAATTTTCTTTCTTTAGTGCTTTATCACTTTTGTCCTTGTTGTTTACATTTTCTCTAGTCACCACATTTCTACTATAGGCTTTAGGCTACTTTCAACAGCATATATTAAGTAAAATAGAAAAATAAGAATAAAAAAGTCCCAATGCCCAGACAATCCTTTTCAGGTATTTTCTCCAACTGACTCAGTGACAACAGGAAGTACTTTATCTGTTCATAGACCTGACTTTCAGTTGTTATCCTTCTAACTCACTTATTAGAGCACATATATGTGCATGTGACAAGTCTCAGATTTTGCTTCATGGCAAGGTACTTTTAACGTTGTGGATAACTTAACTCCCACAACCTTACTGAGTTGTGATGAATCATGGTATACCAAGAAGTTAACTAATGATGTTCCCACTTTCATTCATCAGGTGGTTGGTTCCATTCTGCCTTTTTCTTCTCCAGTTTAGGTTCCTTGTAATTTTGTTTATTTTCTTTCTGTGGAACTTGCCTTGCCTGTAAACAATTTTGGCCAGCTCTTCCACCTCCAGCATTTGTTTCTGGCTCTTCTCTTCCTGATGAGGAACAGGTAATTCTTCCTTTTCCATTTGCTATGCTCATGAATCAGGTATGTGATATTCTACCTTTTTTACCTGTATATCATAATGTGTCTTTGGTTGTTTTACTTTGTGTACCTTCTTCTCTTCCAAATCTTTCTTGTCCTTCTCATCTCTGTAACACCTTTGCTATAGCCTCAGGTCATGATCTTTTTATAATTTTTGATCACTAATCTTTTGTGTATTTTCTTTCTGCTTAGGGTGTTTCCCTTTCTCCTTCTTTGTCTTTCTTTCCAGCTATCTGTTTGTTTTTGTCTGTCTTTACTCTACTTCTTTATTCTATCGCCACCCTTCATCTTACTGAGGCTCTTTATTACAACCACAATACATTTGGTGGAGACACCTATTCTCCTTTGTTTGCCACTTTGGTTTCCATTTCTTCCCTTTCTGTCTCTCTTTTGACCTGGTTTCTTTGTTTTTGGGATCTTTTCAGTTGAATGTCCTCATCCATTTCTCTTATATTCAAGACCTTTGTTTCACTCATTTGCTTACAAACCTGGTCTTTGAGGTGTTCCCAAGGTTTAGGCTACTTGCCTGCAGTCTTTCATCGTTTTCTTGATTTTCTGACTCGCTATTCTACAGGTATCTCTGCCTGCCACCTATCCTCTGGAGTCATATAAGTCTCTCTCCTGCTCCTTGTTCTCTCACTCCTGTTTGTTGTTCCCCCCTCCTGCATGACTAGTCATCACACGTTTTAATGTTGATTCTCCTTTAGAACCAGTCCTAGGGTTTGGTCCCATCGGTGCCCACCTCTCCCATTTTACCCTCCTGTATTCTTTCTTCTTCAGTGACCCTGTGATTCTACACATTATTTCTCATCATTCCTCTATCCTCTTTTGTACTCTACCTCTTCTTTCTCATTGTCTTATTTCCTATCCTCATCTTGCCAATCTTCTGCATCTTCAGGATGTGGTGTCTTCTTTATTGGTGGCTGGAGCTATAGAACATGGCTACCACCTCACTCCTGGATTTTATTTCCTTCTTTTTATCGTCCCCATGAAGTCAGGAGTTTGGCACCCTGTCATTGTCTTGTCATCTCTGAAACATTTTCTCATTGTTTTTCAATTCTGGTTGGACAGCTTTGTTTGTCTGCATTGGGCTTTCTCTCCCAGTCTGTGTTAAAACAAAATAGACATTCCAAATGCCTTTCTTCACATTCCATTTTGTCTTATGTCCCATCATTCATTTGGTTTGTCCTCAATGTTCATGTCTTTCAGTTCCATGCCCTTTTTTCAGCCTAGCTACAGCTCCTTATGTTTTCAGATAGATCATGTGTTCCTTTGTTCAGTACAAGCATTTTCTCTGACTTCATTTCTGCTATTGTATGGTGGTCTAGCTTTTTTTGGCCCCATCTTGATAGAAATCAGTAATTGCTAACTCCATTCTTCTTCAGGAGGTTTCATGCCTGAGCTGGTTGGTTTAACTTTTCATGTACATTTTGACTCCATTCATTTTTTGTCTACCC